GACATGGGACTAAATTCTGGTTGTGAGCAATGAAATCCAAGAAGTTTATGCCTATATTTTCATTGTTAATGTAACAAATTTAAAGCAACTTTCTAAAAAGTAGTAACTGGAGCACACAAACACATGCACACACACATACACACACACAAAATATTTGGAACAGCAGAGAGGTAAAATAAGCTAAATTTATCATTATTGAGGAACAGGATCTAAAAATTATGTCATTTTTGAGAATTCATTATAGGAATACTTTTCCAAATACAGATAAAGTTATGAACTTAGAGATGATTTATAAAAATTTAGAGAGAATTTTCATTAAAAGTCAATATAGATTTCAAATCTTTGAAGAGAAAATTAACAATAAAAAATTAATCAATTCAGCTAATATGGACTAACAGAGACAATATTTGCCATCCTAAAATAAACCCCAAATAGATAAAATATATGAAGCAATGGTTTTTAAGACACGTGAAAATGATCATCCATTAAGACCTTGTCCTGCCACTTTCATACCAAGTCTGCTAGGCCTCCTACTGTCATCACCAATGATGTCCAACAGGAGGTGACATTTCCTTCCTGTGTTCCTACTGCAGAGCCAGTCCTGAGCAGTTCTTTTCCAGGTTTTGGCAGGCAGCTCCCAGAAGTGCTCTTGTGGGCCTTGGTCCCTTTTAGCCACCAGCAAAGGGATCAAGGATGAGCAGAAAGCCTCCTTACTCATCCAAGACCTAGGAACCTATCTGATTTCTGAGCAGCCCTGCACTATCTTATGGTGTGTGATACTCTCTGCCTGGCTTCCCGAGTCCCCGGTTTGGGCACCCTGTACACTGGCCACAGCCCAAAAGAATCTGTTCCCACGCCAAAAGGCAATGCATGATCGTGAGCAGGGCTCTAAGCCTTTGGAGCAGCATGGCTTGTACTGTCTCCTCACCCTGGGCTTGTGAGCTCCATGCCCTTGTTTGAGTCAGTTAAAATCTCTAAGCTACAGTTTCCTCATCAGTAAAATGAAGACATAATCAATATGGAAAAAAAATTCAGAATCTGGGGGGGACTAAATTTCTGGTGATTGAAGATAATTTTAATTCTGAATTATACAGCGAAGGACATCATACAATTTTTACAACTTCAGAAATCTAAAGGACAACTTCTACTATTAAAAATAATGTATGCACGTACACACAAACACAAGTGCATTCACACTGACTCTGCTCCACATAGATACCCGCACACACATACACATGGACTCATGTACCAAACACACACACCATACACTCAACCACATACATCCACAGGCATGCACGTGTGCACACAAACACACACACAGTCACAGTCATGTACCACACACGTCCCCAGGTGCACACACACACACACAAACGTCATACACACCTTTGGCGTTATTCTAAATCAATTTACAATTGAGGGTCTCAGTGTCCATTGTTTTATCCTCTCAGATCCTGACTTCGGAGCATGAAGAAGTAGCCCCTCCTCTCTGGAGATGGTCTTTGCCACTTGCAGTCTCAGTAGAGCCAACATAACTGCTCTGGACCTTTGGAAGTTCAGTAACAGAGCATTGCTGGGGGTTCATATCCTATACATCTAAACATTTTAAGTGCAGTAGGTTCTAAACTCCTGCCTTACAGATATACATTCATTATAAGGGGGAAGGCCATGTTCAAATTTAGAATTCCCAGACTCATGGGAGTCCCGCAAAGAAAGTGAGTGTGTGGGGAGAGCTGATTCCCAGCCTCTGATCACTAGCCTGACCCTTTTCTTCCCAATGCTGGGTCCATCCCTTGCCACAAGGGGCCTTGGATGTGCACAGGGGGACACTCACAACTCACGTCCAGGCTCTTCCTATTCCCTCCGTGCAAACAGCTGCCCTTTGGCCTGTGAGTTCTGGGAATCTGAACTCCAGGGAGAGCCAGTGCAGGCACTAGAAATGGGTCAGGGGCTGCTGAGTCAGGGCATTTGGGGTCCTGGGTTTCCAGAGGATGGGATGGAGACAATGACTGTGTCCCCTTGGCCCTGCTGACTCCACCACATGGAGGGCGTGGCCAGAGGAAGTGTCAGGGCCAGAGGGACCCTCTGTAGTGCAGGACCCAGGGAAGTGGGCCCCCTTGCCAGGGTCTCAGGGAAGAATCCCTAAGGAAAGGTCTGAGGAGGCTGTAAGATATCTTCATTACCATCAATTAAAAAAACAAAAACTCACCACTGGCGTGGGTGGGAAGGGATTTGTTATAACAAGGGAAGGCACTTGCCAAGGTCTGGCCATAGAAGGCTGGTGGGTTTGCCAGGTTGATGAGGAACCAAGAAACCATTAGCCTCCCCTGGGTCTAAACACCACCTGAACTCCTCCAGGTGACACTGAAATGCAGTGAGACACGGAACCCTCCCAAGTTGTTAAAATCTTCATAGTAAGCCGTTCAGCTCTCTCCTCATTCTTGGCTACAAAAGCACGATAAACACAGGCGAGAAACTCACCAGCATGTTGGTTGATTCACTGTCCATCTGGTGCTCCCTCTTGTAGAAGCCTTTATCACATCACCCAGGGCTGACCCGGCTCAGGATTACAGCTGATATTCCGCAGGTGACATCACTTGCTGGTGACATAAAGGAGGCATGTTAGCCACCTCCCAAACATTGAGGCTCTTCCTGGTGGAAGCCTTCAGGCCCCCAGTCCAACCTCTGCACCACGATGCTCCTTAGTGCCATTCCCAGCTTACTGCCCTGGCCTCTAACTCTGGCCAGAAACTCACTGGATTGTCGATAAATGTCACCCATGCACCATGTCTAAGCTTGGGGTCCAGATGTGACCATGGTTCTTATTTTTTTCCCATCGATGGATTGTTTGATCTTCGTGTTATCATGTTGGCAGGAAGGCCAGTACTGCCTCTTGAGGCTTCCCCCAGCTGACTCTCTCTATAACTGCCCTAGCACCACAGGGGATCGGGTCTGAAGCCTGGCACTCAGACACGAGGATGACAGCTGGAGAGACAGGAATCCACTCCTGCTGTGGCTTCTGCTGTGGCTTGATATGGCCATAAAGACAGATCCCACAGGCCCTGACATCACTTGACTCGCTGCAGGGATGCTTCCACACTGCCCCATTCCCCCCAGAGACCGAGGGCTTTCTGCTTGTTCCCAAAGGCCCCATCCAGGTGGGGGCACTGGGTCCAGTGGAGCATCCAGCCTGATTCCTCACCAGTCCTTAGGGCCTTGGTGGGGCCTGGAACATCAACTACCCACCCCTTAGGGGTCCATTTGTCCTTTCCAGCCAACAGACCTAGTTCATAAGTACTTTAACTCATCTGAGTGTGTTTTCCTTAATTCAGGGTCAGTGAGGACTGGGCTTCTTCACACTCCAAGTGCCCCAGGTCTGGATGCAGACAGCCTGTCTCTCCCCTCAGTCCTGCAGATCCTGGCCACACTTGCTGCTGGTCACTGAGTCTGTTGTGTGTTCTCTTCCAGGACAAGAGGTGCACTCTGCCCCCACCCTGTCCCCACCAGCAGTGGCAGAGGCGGCAGACAGGCAGGTGAGTTGGGGCCTGAGACTGAGCCAGGAAATCAGTGTCCCAGAGGCCGCTTGTGACTAGAGGGTCCATGGGGCAGAAGGCATCATGGGATGGGAGGAGGAGGAAGGTTCAGGATAAGGAGATGAATGGGGGAACAGATAGCACTGTGAGGACTTCGACCATGAAATGGAAGAGAAAACACAGTGACAGGTGTAGCAGTGTTGGCGTTAAAATCTGTGGCCATTTTCATTTAATTTTATTAATTACCATTATATATAGTGACATATTCTTATTTTATTAAAGATTATGTGCCATGTCATATAACAGGATATAGTAGGTTATTATTTATTAAATAATACATAATAGTAGATATACTAGCATATTATGTTGTTTATTAGTAGATAGTATATAATATATTTATATCACATGTAATACATATGTAGGCATTTATATACATAATATATAATTCATGCATCTATATAATATATAACACATAATGTAGGATTATGAATAATATATTTTCTAACAAGATTACATAAAAATAATGATGTAATATTGCCCATTATATGTCTTGGTTCATGACACATTCTCATCTTATGTGCCTGTCAGTAGTATTTATTTATGTATTAA